TGAAGATCTAACCTTGTAAAATACCTGAGGGCTGAAGAGTTGGAAGTGCTCTCTATCTTTGCCAAGTGCCCTTTGTGCTTGCCACACTCCCCAGGAAAATTGTCCTTTGATGTGCTGTTAAAGTTACTATCTGCCTCGCCTAACACCACTTGTGATACAATGCTTTGAATGAATGATGAGTCTGTAGAAAGCACGTCTAGCCCTGAGCACATTGCCATCCTTCACTACATTGATTCTTCTCTCCTGCACAGCCACACCCACCTCCTTCAGTACAAGGGCAGGAGTACAGATTTTAGTCCTTAGAGATCCACCCCCTACATAAATTAACACAAGGAAACCATTTAAAGGATTGCAAAACAGTGGAAGAAACAGGTGCTATAAAATGAGATTGCTTTAAGCCTTCGGAAGGAACACTCTTTGTTGCAATCAATCTGGAAACTATATGAAAATCGATTTGGAAATCATGCTTCATCATATCATGTTAAAATTATGAGATTTCTGAGAGGATGAGACAAAGTGGGCTCAAAACAGATATGTGACAGACTGTTCATGCTTTGTAACTTGAGATTTATCTGAAGGAGAAATTAAGATATCAAGTAGTAAATATTTTAGAAAGATAACTTGGTTAACATATGATTTTGCTGGTAGATACTTTTAATTTACAAGGGTATGAAATGTATTCTATAAATATATCAATTTAAATGTGAACATGAATTCTTTACTTGATGCTGGGCTAGGAGAGAGGTGCTGCAGGATAGTGTTCACTTGTAGGCTGCCATTTATTCTGTGTCAGTAATAAAAGCTATTCTACCTGATAATAATCTAAGAAAAAAATATAGTGGTTTACAACATTAAGAGTAAGCCTGGAAAAATACGTACTGTATCTTGCCTCTTTTGTGTGCTTTAAAATGTCAGTCCTGATTTGTGTGTGTGTGTGTGTGTGTGTGTGCGTGCGTGTGTGTGTGTGATTGAGAACCAAACACAGGGCCTTTGCACTGAGTGACATCCCTAGCCCCCTTTTTTATTTTTAAAGATAAAACAATGGAAACATATTAACTAACACAGAGACATAAACAAAACAACACAAATACAATAAAAGCAATACAGAATTTCAGACAAGGTGATAGGGAATTAACAATGGTTGTTGTATTACATGTTGTTATCTTCAGTTTGGTTACTAAGATAAATATAGGTGTGCAAGATTGATCAAACAATTAAACATTAACTGTTCCTTTCAATAAAGCAATAGGATTTAGTAGTACATTTATCTTAGCTATCTTGTATATACATATACACATCTTTTCCCTTCTTTCTTTCTTTTCTCTTTTCCCTCATCCCAGTTCTTTTCTTTTGAGCAGTTTCTTTCCCTCTCACAATATGTATTGTACCTTTTACATTTTATTACTCTTTCAGCTTCTTACACTAGTGAAACAATATGATGTTTACACATGCAGGTCTGATTTATTTCACCTATGAGTATGATCTCTAGTTGCATCCATTTACTTGTAAAAGCCTTGAGTTTATCTTTCTTTATAGCTGCGTAATATTCCATTATATAAAAATACCATATCTTTTTATCCATTCCTCAGTTGATGGGTATTTGGGTTGATTCCAATATTTAGCTATTACACATTGCACTGTTATAAACATGGGTGCACACATATCACTGTGGTATGATGTTTTTAATTCTTCTGGAAAAATATCCTGTAGAGAAATAGCTGGGTTGAATGGGACCTCTAACCCTAGTTTGTTGAGGAATCTCCAGACTGATCTCCACAGAAGTTACACCAGTCTATAGTGGCACCAACAGCAGAGAAGAGTTCCTTTTTCCCCACAGCCCCTCCAGTCTTTGTTATTGGCTGATTTCTTGATGATAGCCATTCTTTCTGGTGTGGATGAAATCTCAGTGCTGTTTTAATTTGCATTTCTTGAATGATTAATGATGTTGAACATTTTTTCATGTATTTATTTGCTATTTGTATTTCTTTTTTAATTTTAAAAATTAAAAAAAAACCTTTTTTTTAAATGAAAAACAAAAGTTATATGTATATGTAAGGGTAGCTGTATAGTGTATAGTGTATAGCTGTATAGGTGTATAGCTGATGTCTGTGGTTTATTGAAAGGAATAGTCAGTGCTTAAAATTTTCTTTTTTTCTTCACCAATTTTGCATGCTTGAATCTGGTAATCAGAATGACTGAACTGAAAACAACAACATGCAACATAAGAACCATTGTTGAACTCCTACCATCTTGTATGGTGAAACTTTTCATCATTTCCAATGTCTTTTTTTTACTGTTACAGCCTTTGATTGTTTGATCAATCTTACATTTTTATGTCTGGTGCTATGAGCAACTTTGTTGTAGTTCTTTATCTGAGAAATGTGCATTCACCTCAGATGCCCATTTTTGGATTGGGTCTTTGAATTTGGGGAGACTGATTTTTTTTTTTTAATTCTTTGTGTGTTATCAACAGAAGTCCTTTGTCTGAGGGACAGTTGGCTAACATTTTTTCTCAATTTGTGGGTTTTCTTTTTACTCTGCTGGTGATTTCTTTAGATGTGCAAAGCTTTTCAATAAGATGAGATCCCAGTTGTTGATTCTCTGAAGTATTTCCCGTGCAGTTTGGTGTTTGTTCATGACTACTGCCTACCCCTATGTCTTCAAGATTTTTACCTACCTTCTCTTCCAGTAGATTTAGTGTTTCTGTTTTAAAAATTTGGAACACTTCACCAATTTGCGTGTCATCCTTGCACAGAGGCCATGCTAATCTCTGTATTGTTCCAATTTTAGTATATGTGCTGCCGAAGTGAGCACACATTTTCTATTTTCTATTTTGAGATGGAGTCTTACTGCCCAGGCTCTAAATTGTTATCTTCTTGCCTCGACCTCCCAGATTGCCGGGATTCTGATATTGATGGTACCCTATGTCAATGGCAAAATTTTCAAACCTACAAAACTATGTCATAATGAAGATCAAATTTGTACAAGTTATGTGAACCTCTAAGGAGAAATGAAAACTCTTCTAGTAAATATGAATGGAGGCAATATGAATGGACTAGAAGCAAAAGCAATGGTTGAATTTAGTAGGCAACATTTGAAAAAATTTCAATAATCTTTGATTGACTATAACCATCTCTATGGGATACATAAAATTTTGAATCAGCTGTTTAATACGGTGAGAAGTACCAAAGACTGGAAAATATGTAGATTTTAACCCCAACTCTTAGATCAAGTGATTTAACCTCTCTGGACTTTAATCTTTTATTCATTCATTTATATTTTATTGATTTTATTGAACAAACATTCAGAAGTCTTACTTTATACTCCCTCCTATTGAGTTTCCTCTCCCCCATAACCTGAGTGTCCCTAAGAATCCTTAAAGCTATAAAATATGTCATTAGAAAGTAAAAACTGCCTAACTAGGGACTTCATGGAAAGGGGGATTTTGAACTACTTTTGAAGGATTAGAGGAACACAATTTGAATTACTGAAAAAAAATCTTGGTTTGGGATGGGAAAGCAACATATACAACTGTCAAGTTGTATCTGGTCAAAACTCCTCCAACAAGAGCCAGAAATCTAGGACACCTAGAACATTCTGAAGATGGAGCAACCACAAGAGTGAGGGGAGGGACAAAGGATGAAGGCGGGAAACCTCCTACAGAGAGTGAATACAGGGCAGACCCTGTGCCCTGAACAGCCACAATTTCAGTTTGGATTTTAGTATTGATGAAATGACTGGCAGAGCATTTGCAGAGAATAATTTTATTATAATGTGAAAAAAATTATTTGACTAGGATACTTAACCTTCACACTATTTCCGCATCACAATTACATTTGCCTTAAGGTAATTACTAAGCATCTCACAGTATGTGGGGCTTTTTTAATGAAACAGTAAGATAACATTATTTATTTGATCTTTCAGTTCCATCATGTAAGTTTAACAGTGTTTTCCTTTGCTGCCCATTCTTTTACTACTTTCCTTCTCTCTGTCTCTGTCTCTATTTCTCTCTCTCTCTCTCTCTTTCTTTCTTGCTCTCTCTCTCTCTCTCTCTCTCTCTCTCTCCCTCATTTTACTCATTCTCTACCTAACTACCCTAAGCCCCCTCAGTGTGAAAAAACTGAGCTGGATAAGCACCACAAAATAGTCCCCATTATTTTAAGTTTGAAAGTACTGGAGAAATGTTAAGTGAAATTCACCATACTCCTCTTACACAAGGCATTTGACCTTTAGATAACGCTAAGCACTTCATCCTCCAATGCTTTTAATTCTAATCCTTGCTGAGACAAAATTCATTGCTTGAATTACAAGAGTGAGTCTCATTAAGGCTAAAAAGCAGTGACCCAGATAGCATAATGGATTAATATGGTGACCTTGCAGTTTCAGAGCTTTACTTTCAAATCTGACTGTCCAGTCCAAATCATTTCAATAGTCAATTAATCAATTGGTTTCTACCAGTCGATAAGCATTCTGAGTCTAGTGGTTTTGAGATCATTTTGTTCAGCAGTATCCTACAAATAATTAGATTTGAAAACAATAGTTCACTTATTAACTACCCAAACCTTTCTTAAATGATCAGAATAAAAGTAGGGTTTAGTGTAATGGTTGTAATCACTACTAAATGTATAATTTAGTCTATCTAACAAACGATATTTTGAAACTGAAAATATGTAAATATACTATGATATGATATATAAATATATATATTAAAATATGTGTATAAGTCATTTGTACAGAAATACAGTAAAAATAATAAATTAGTATTTAACAATGTGATGTTGACTAGGTCCTTATGCATCCCAAGAAAACACCCTACCACTGAACTACATTGCTGTCCCCATCTTTTGTTATTCTTTAAGGTAATATATGTTGTTAGGATGATTATACCCAAGTAAAAATTAATGTGTGTATAGATAGCTCTTTAGAACATGCTAGGGTCTGCAGAATTTTTTCCCAGAAACATGTTTCCAAAAATTTGTTTGTGTATTTATTTATTGCAGATGCAAGATATTCGGAACCCAGAAGGAACTCAGTATAGCTCCCACCCTCAGATGGCAGCCCTGAGACCCCGGGGCCAGCCTGCAGACATCAGACAGCAGGCAGGGATGCTGCAGCATGGCCAGCTGACCACCATCAACCAGTCCCAGCTGAGTGCCCAGCTGGGCTTGAATATGGGAGGAAGCAATGTGCCCCACAACTCCCCCTCACCCCCTGGGAGCAAGTCTGCAACTCCTTCACCATCCAGTTCAGTTCATGAAGATGAAGGCGATGAAACTTCTAAGGTATGACTAGGTTATTTTTCAAACACGTATTTATCACCTTCCTTTACCTACTATAGGGTAGGGAGTACAAGTTTGTCCTCCAAATGAGAAACATTGATGAGGAACATAAACTTGGCTCATGAAGGAAACATAAGATTAGAAATTGAATAGTTGGCTAGTCATACCTTTAAGTTCTACTATATCCTTTCAATAGAGTTGTAGTAACTATAAAAGTCATTTGCATCCACAAGATGAATGTTCTACATACAGAGAGGCAGAATAAATCCTGTAGGACTCAACTTCCAAAATCAAGCCTAATTTACACCCATTCAAAAACATCTATATGAGTCTGCCATTGCTCTTTGAGTGCCCTGGGTCTGGCTCCTGTGCACGTCCTGAACTGACTAAGAAGCAGAACAGGAGGGCTGTGACCTGCTCCCACCACCATGGTTCCCAGCTGAAACTCGCAGAGAGAGCCAGGTATTTCCGAGCTATTTCCTGGGAGCAGAGCAGGCAACCCAGGGCCCCCGCTGCCATTACAGCCTGAGTCTCTGCCCCCTGGGCACTCGCAGCACACAGAAATTCCTCACTCAGAAGCCCCAGGGACTGTTCTTACCGAGATTTGTGTGGGGGCCCTCCCTGCATGCACCCTGCGCTGAGTGAGCGAGTGCTCCAACAGCTGCTGGTACTGCAGTAGGAGTCAGTGCTTTACTTGCACCCAGACAAACTGGAGTGGAGGGGTGGCAGGCACGGGCAGTCTGTGATTGCTGTCCCTACAGCCCGCATCTGGTTCCTGTATGTGTCCTGAACTGACTGGTGACACAGAATCAGGTGGTTCACAATCTGTTGACCCTGCAGTTGGTGTCTGGGTTCTGACTGTATCCTGAACTGCTTTGGGACATAGGTCCACAGGACCAGGATTGTCACACCAGTGCAACCCCTGTCTGGGCCATGCACATGCCCTGAACAGCAAGAGGACGCTGGATCAGAGGGTCTGCCATAAGCTGACACCAATGCCCATGTCTGAGACCAGGGATAACTAGGTACAAATCAACAACTGCTGGAAAACCCCAGACTATGTAGTGCTTCTCAGTGGACACTGAGGGGCAAACCTGACCAACAGGAAAACTAGGGACACTATCAGCCTTTCCTCTGCAGCCACTGAAGAGGGAAACTGAGCTTTCTTCATCTGGTATCAAACATGACTAAACAAAGTACTAAAACACAACCACAGAAATACTCCACCCCACTCAGAACAAGATAAAGAGACATCCACATAGGAGAACTTGGTAACCACATGCCTGAAATAGTTGAAATGCTTGCAATGGAGGTAAAGAAACAACTCCATAAGGGCATAGAAGAGATGAGATCA